GCTATGAACATAGATGAACACATATTCTTGTGGTATGATTGAACATCCTTTGGCTATATTGCCAAAGTGGTATTGCTGGGTCTTGAGGTACGTTGTTTCCTAATTTTCTGAGAAATTGCCATACTGATTTCCAAAATGGCTTTACCAGTTTGCAATCCCACCAGCAATGGAGGAGTGTTCCCTTAACCCAGCATTCTCTCCAGCATAAGTTGTCATTGTTTCTGATCTTGACCATTCTTACAGGTGTAAGATGGAAGGGTGCTATCATATTATCAGCAAATAGTGGGAATATGATTTATTTTCCAGTTTGTATCATGTTGATCTCCTTTTGTTGTCTCATCGCTCAGGAACAAGACAAGGTTGTCCACTCTCAAGTGATGGGGAAAGTATTGTTAACCAATCATCTTTAAGAGGTGGAACCTAGTTAAGGTGGTGCTTCCTGGAGCCCAAGAAAAAACTGGGGCATGGACCAGGTGCTCTTGCTCCTCTTTCTCTTTCTGTGGTACTTCTGTGACAAATGATCTTGGACTTCCCATTCCTGTTTTGAGAGTTTTCCCCTTACAATGAATAAAAATATAATTGTTTTATCCGTTAGCTAGCCTTGTTATTTCTCATTTAAAGCCAATTTCTACAGTTGGCACCAAACTTGGGGCTAGATTCTCCAGCGGCTCTGACCAGCCACAGTCACGCTCTATGCCATTCATTTTGGGTATAGAATTCCCGGCACTGTGTAGCCTCTATCGGCTGACTTCTGGGTCCAAGGCAGGCTGAGAGACATGGAAAGCAGAGGCAAAAAAGGCTGAGGAGCTCCCACCCAGCAGCAGCACCACCACCAGTTCAGGCAATGTGTCCTCTGTACTAAGCAGGAGGCATCTGCCTCCCTCTGCCAACTGTCTTGTGTGGCTGCTGAACAGTCAGTGACCTCCAGGGACCACACAATCTGTGATTTACACTAAATAACTGTTTTTAATTTAAGCATATCTTTCAGTCATGCAAGGTTTATATTATTTTTCCCTCCTACATCTTTCTATTTGATTCTAGGGATTAGCTTTTTTCATTCATATTTGCTTCTTAAAAACATGGTTTGATAATAGGCCAAGAATTAGGCACTTTTAGAAATAATACAGTCTTTAAAGACTGACACTGATCAATTAAAAGGAGAATTCAAAACTCTGGAGAAGGATACAAACAATTCAACTTAAAAAACATTCAAATGAGGTACTTTTGGAAATGAGACAGTCTTTATAGACTGATAGTAATCCACTAAAAGGAATATTCAACACTCTGGAAAAGGATAAAGCCAATATGATAAACAAAACCCAGTCAATGACAGAGGGTGCTGAGAAATTGTCTGAGAGAATGTACTGTTAAATGTATTAATGGATTCTGTTGATGGGTTATAACAGACTGACTGATAGAATGTCTCTCCAGGAAGGTAATATGCATGCTATAAAAATTATGTCCAAGGATGAGACATTATCTCTACTGGAATCCTGAATGAGGGCATTAGAACAGAACACTGGACAGGAGATCCAGACTTTACAAAAGGTAGTGGAAAATAGATTTGAAAAGATTGAGGAATTTATCTAATTTGATGACAAGTGACAAAAGGTATAAAAACAAAATTTAGCCTCATCAGTATGTATCAAAGTCCAGGATAGCTTACCCAGAGTTATGCATGCTTTTCCCATGATATGATCAGAAAGAGCATATGGCAACAAATACCCTAAGGTAGTCAAAGAATATGCATGGGAGCCCATACATATAACTGATCTAAAGGAAATTAAACAAGCAATTTTATCTTATGGAATATATTTGTCCATCATTGGGGAAATGGTCAAAATGTGGGCTTCAAGTAATAAAGCAATGCCACAAGACTGGATTCAGTTAATCTCAGCAGTCGTAAAAAATGGACCTCTGTTGCTTTGGCAGTGTTACTTTAGGGAAGAGACAAAAATTTTAGAGCAACATGGAAAAGCTAAAGGACTTGAGATTTCCTGAGATCAAATCCTGGGCAAGGGACTTTACTCTGATCCTCAGAATCAAGCTCTTTATGATGAACACAGCTTGTCTCTATGTAGCACAGCAGCTTTAAGTGCTTGGAATGGGATTCAGAAACTAGGAAGAGAACTGAATCATATCTTAGGGTTAAGCAAGGTCAGAGAGAACCTTTTAGTGAAGTTTTACAAAGATTAACTAAGGCTGTACAAACAGGGGTAACTGACTCAGAAGCTAGACATATACTAATTGAATCTTTGGCTTGTGAGAATGCCAAATTAGAATGTGAAAATATCATTGGGCCTTTAAAGATCAGATCAGCCCAATGAATGAATGAATCTTGCATACAATGAATGTTGAGTCACTTGACTATACTACAGAAGCTTGGATAAGAAAAGCAATTTCCAATGGTATAATAAGGAGACATCAAAATACCAAATGTCTTAATTGTGGTAAAATGGGACATTTGAAAAAGAATTGTAGACAAGGAATTCCTGGAATAAATGTTTTCTCAAGGAATGGCAAGAATAGGAATACTCAGCCTACAGGTATATGTAAGAAGTGTGGCCTATATTCATTGGTTGGACCAATGAATGTTGGTTAACAAAAGACAAACAAGGTAAATGAATATGCTTGGGAAACTCTATGGGGAACCTCTTGCAGGCCCCCCCATGATGATCATGGTCCAGCTATTCCCAGTTAATCTGGAGAGCATGTCTCTCCAGGAAAATTAAAAAATCCGGTACCTACTGTAAAAAAATACTGATCTGGATGAGGAAATAAATGTGGAGGATGGGTCAAAAACTCCAGTAAGACATAGGAAGTGTATATTCTGGCAGACTTCTATAAATGATCAAAGACCAAAGCTAAGAATGTGTATAAATGGCATATTTATTGAAGGATTACTAGACATGGGAGTGGATATAAGTATCATTACTCTAGAATCTTGGCATCCATATTGGCCTCTTCAAGAGTTCCTAGGAATTGGAACATTATCTCGAATGAAACAAAGCACAGTGGGTTGAATGCATAGGGCCAGAGGGGCAGAGGGATGACTGAGGCCATATGTAGCTAATATTGCAGTGAATTTGTGGGATCATGGTCTATTACAGCAATAGAATACCCAGGTTAACATTCCTGCAGCCCCCAAAATTTATGTTTCTGGGGAAGATATTAGAAAATATTATAGACAAAGTTCACTGTTCTTTCAGGCTGTACAAGAACACAAAGCAATTGACAAATCTTCAGACATCCTAATGGCCCTGCCTTTAAAATGGTTAATTGAGAAAACAATATGGCTTAAACAGTGGCCTCTAACTAAAAAAAAAAAAAAAAAGCTTCAGAATTTAGAAGAGCTGATACAAGAACAACTAGATGCTTGCCATATTGAAGAATCTACCAGACCTTGGAATTCTCCTGTATTTTCTCCTGTATTTGTTGTTAGAAAGAAATCTGGAAATCTGTGGGCCCTCTACAATCTGGAATTCCTCTGCCTTCTCTGTTACCAAAGGGATAGCCTCTCATAGTTATTGATTTAAAGAACTGTTTTTTCCACTATACCTCTACAAGAAAAGGATAGAGAAAAGTTTGCCTTCACGGTACCTATTTATAATAATTCTCAGCCTACTATGAGATATCCTCCCACATGGAATGTTCAATAGCCTTACCCTGTGCTAATATTATGTTAGTCAGCCATTGGAAATAATACATAAACAATTTTCAAAGTATATAATCTACCATTACATGGATGATATTTTGTTATCTGATTCAAATACAGATACTTTAGAAAGGATATTTGAAGAAGTAAAGAAACTTTTGCCTAAATAGGGATTTCATATTGCTTTTGAAAAGATTCAAAGATGATATTATGTTACTTACCTAGGTTACAGAATAAGTTTGCAGAAAATTAGAACACAAAAGCACAAATTGGGAGAGACCAGTTGTAGACTCTTATTTTTTTTTTTTAACGTAGTAAAAAGGCAGCTTGCTTTATTCTTTGAATGTAGATGGGGAACAGGAGTTTCCTTTGCCTCCCAACATGAGCTTCACCAAGACTGAGAAACCAAATGAGTGGCACATTTGAAAGTTGCATCACTGGAAGAGGTTTTAGGTATCTCTTACTCAGCCCATCTTCCTTTGTCATTGGGTCCAGGCCTCCCAACTCCCACCAGATCTCTAGGCTAGGTGAGGTGTACCCTGCTGCCAATTGGGTTTGGCTTCTCAAACCCCTGAACATGTAAGCTTCTTGCTCAGGTTACTAAAAGTGGCTCTGCTCCAGGTGGCATAGGCCAGGGGTCAACAAATTCTTTTTGGATACTGTGCCCACAATCCCTGTGATTTCACTCTCAGTCACATGGGTGCACCTCAAAAGCCAACTCAGATCCTTCCTGCCATTCCTCAGAGTAGAGACCACCAGGACAGCTACTTCCTATTCTTCCCCATCCCCTTCCTTTCCCTCCCACCCAACTCTCCCATTTTTCCTCCCCCAACCTCCTTCCAAGCCAGCATTCGGTGGGGTCCACCTTTGTCAGGTTGCCTGAAGGATCTGCCAACCCCTAGAGCAGGTCCAAAAAACAGAAAACAACTGAAAAGGAGAAAAACCACAAAATTCAGGGTTGCCTTTGTCTACAAGGAACTGCGGCTTCCAGGGGTGGGAAGAGGCCATGCTCAGCAAGAAGCTGGACATTCTCTTATGCTTAAGATAGTCCACCTCAATTATCTCTGCACGGACTTCCCTGTCTCCAACAACATATCAAGAGCACTGTGTATGTACGCAAACATGCAGGCACACACAGGTAGCCTTTATGGGTATGCCCTCTATGCTGGCTGTTGACATAGCCTCTTGGGGAGCAGGAAATAGGTGGAAGAGAAGTGTCCCTTCTAGGGGCTTTCTACTACCAAAGTCCTGTGCACACATACAAATACAGGCGTGTGCATAAGCACAGCATGCAAGCACACACATAGACACACTAGATTCTAAGGGAGGGTGAAGGTCAGGCTCTCTAGGCCTGGACTGGGCTCTTGCTGGGGCAGCTCAGACAGTGGTGACAGAGAGACAGAGGGTTATAGATCCTTTTTCCATCAGCTGAGCGGGCACCGTGGGCCAGCATCTCTTGGATGGTGATCCAGTTGTCCAGGATCTTCTTGTTTCTCTTCTTCATGGTCTTATGGTGGCTCAGAGCAATAATGTTTATCTCAGGCTTGCTGTCGCCATTCTGCTGCTCCCTCAGACACTCCAGGTGGCTCTGCATCATGAACTCACACCTCTTCCACTGCTCCCATTCTCGGATCAGGTGCTGCTTCCTCTCTTCCTTGCTCCAGTAGCGGCCCATCTTCATCTCACTCGCTGCATCATCATCAGTGGTCATTCCGCTGCGCTCTTCCCGTATTTTCAGGGCCCTAGCCTTCAGCAGCCGATCTCGCACAGGCCGCTTGGCCACATAGCGGGTTCCATCACTTTGCACCTTCACCTTCCATTCCATGTGGGATACTTCGACAGCTGCGGCCACCACCCCACCCACCCAAGGACCACTAGCAAAGCTCAAGGAGCCATGGCGCAGATCCTCCAGGGTATGTGGCGGGGTCAACTGCACACAGCTCTGGTAATGCTGGCTCTCCTGGCCACGATGACGCCTGGAGAGGTAAGGGCTGCCTTTGGGAACTACACGCTCCAGAGTAACACCTGTCTTGGTGCTGCGTCGGACACGCTCCTCTGAGTGCTGTCTCCGGCCCACCTCAGGATCCCGAGAGAGTGATCGGAACTTGGCAGGGCTTCCAGGTGAAGAAGCCCCTTTGGGGTGGGCGGTGACAGGAGGGCCAGAAGGGGTCCAGTTCAAATTGGAATTGCCCGCAGCAGATCGCTTCAGGGGGATCTCAGGCAAAGGCTCCATGAGCAGCGGAGTGCTCCGGCAGCTCTCCCTAGTGTTGTAGGCGCTGGTGCTATCCTTGTCTGATTTCTCTGGCAGTTCAGAGATATCAGACAGCTCGTGCTTTTTGGGCTCACTGGCTGCCAGGTCATAGAGGCTCTCCTCCTCCTGCAGCCAAGCCTTCATACAGCGCTCCTGCAACTGCTGCATCTTCTGTGCCCTCAAAATGTTGCAGCATTTGAACTCTAGGTGCTGAAGCTCCTCCAGCATGGCCATCTCATGGCCTAGGCTCTCATTTCGGTTGAGGTCCAGGGCACCGTTGCCACTGGAGGCCCGGGAGAAGAAGATGCCTAGCTGGTTGCCATTCTCCAGGTGGCACTTGATCTCCAGTAGTTCCCAGTAGCGTTCATACTCCTCATCAGTGAGCCCAGGCAGGTCAGTCCCACCCAGTCCTGCCCCCTCAGCCAGCAGAGAGTCCATGCTGAAGTGGAAGTCCCTGCTCTGTAGGGCGTCCCCTTGCAGGCTAAACTTGCGCAGGCTTCCAGGGGTGTTGGTGGTGCTGGGGGGGGGGCTCATCCCCCAGCAGGTCATGTTCAGAGCTCTCTTCATTCCGGGTACTCTCATCAGTCCGGCCCACCCCTCTGTCCAGCTCCTGGCTCTTGCTCAAGCTTGGGCCCCCATCAGGAGCACCCTTCTCATCATTTCCAGTCTGCGGGGCAAGAGGTGACTTCAGCTTCCTAGCACGAAGGTCCCCTTCATTCTCAGACCCAAAGTCATCTAGGAAGTCATCTCTGTCACTGTCTTTCCACCGCTTTGCTAGCTGGCTCTCAGGCCGGGCCAACAGCAGGGAGATGTTGGTGTTTTCTTCCTGGCTCAGGATGGCTACTGCCTCCTCTCGGTTCTGGACATCCATTCCATTAATCTGGATGATTCTGCCTCCCTCACGGATCCGGCCATCTTTCGCTGCAATGCTGTTGGGATTTACCTCTCCAACGTAGATGCCCAGGTCCTCATCATCATCTATGCGGTAGCACACCATCAAGCCCAGCTTGTCTTGGTGCCTGTTTTTACACAGCTCCACCTCCTGGTACTCCAGCTCGTCCATTCGCTCTGCCTCCTGTGGGCCGCCCTCCATGAACTCCGCTGGGTCATAATACTCATGGCTGATGGGGGGTGGGTCCAAGATGTCCATGGGTGGGGTGGGTGGGCGCAGCTTACCCAGTGCCATGCTCGAAGGTAATGTAGGTCTGAGTGCCACTGTCCACCAGCTGAAGGTCATGGCAGGAGCTGTCCCCCCGCAGACGGGGGCTGTGTCTCAGCACCTGGATCACCGGGGGCTCCTTGGAGGCACGCAGGGCCTCTAGGGTTTGCTCCTGAGACAGCTTGGAGAGCTCCTTCCCGTTCACCTGAAGCATCACTTTGTACTGCTCCTCCGGTTTCTGGACCACGCACATATTACATCCCATGGTGCTGGCCGGTGAGGGAAAGAAGAGGGCGGGAAGAGGAAGGCGTCTTTCACTGGCAGATGCTTGGGACCACGGGTCCCAGGCCCGGACTCCGGGCCATGCCCTACCCTACAGGGGGGGGCCGAGCCGCCTAGCAGGGGAGGAGGGCACGCCCCCCAGTTGCAGACTCTTAATGACTTTCCAAGATTATTAGGAGACATTTCCAGTCTACAACCAGCTGTTAGGATTACACCTGATTTTATAATTCATTTAAACAAAACCTTAGATGGTGATAAAGACTTGAATCGTCCCAGAAATTAACAGTTGAAGCAGAAAAGGAATTAACAATTGTTGAGGAGAAAATATAGGAGGCACATGTAGTTAGGGTGAACCCAAATCTAAATTATATTCTATTCATATTACCTTCCAGAATTTCTCCTACAGGAATTTTAATACAGAGGAATGATATTATCTTAGAATGGATCTTTCTGCCACATAAACCAAGTAAAAAACTAAAAACTTATATGGAATAAGTCTATGAATTAATTTTTAAAAGGCAAATTGAGACTCTGTCAATTAACAGGTATAGACCCTGCCTTTCACTACTGATTAAATAAAAAAGTTATGAGAAGACAACGAACTATGGCAAAGAGATTGTACTAATTTTTGAGGAGAGATTAATCTACAATTATCCCAAAAGTGATAAACTTAACCTTTTAAAGAGAACTTCTTGGATTTTTCCACAAATTGTATGTGATACACCAGTAATGGAGCCCGTTCATTTTATACTGATGCAAATAAATCAGGGAAGGCAAGTTACAAGTCAGAAGAATTAAATAAGGTGGAACAGAGACTGTATAATTCTATCCAAAAGGCAGAATTATATGATATTCTTATGGTACTAAGGGATTTTTAAAGAACCTCTCAATATAGTTACTAATTCACAATATGCAGAAAGAATTGTCTTGCATATTGAAACCACTAAATGTATACCAGATGATACAGAATTGACTTCATTATTTATTCGGACACAGGACATAATCAGGAATAGGCTTTGTCTTGTATACCTAACATACATCCAATCCCATATATCTGCCAGATCCTTTAACAAAAGGTAATGCAGAAATTGATCAATTATTGATTGGAAGTGTGTTGCAGACCTCAGAATTTCATAAAAACTTCAAGTCGATAACAAAGGCTTAAAGAAAGAATTTCCTATTATATGGCAATAAGCTAAGGAGATTATAAAGAGATGCCCTACTTGCTCTTTCTATAACCAAACACAGTTGCTTGCGGGGAGTAACCCCTAGGGTACTCAAAGGAATTAGATCTAGCAGCTGGATGTTTTCCACTTTATGGAATTTGGTAAATTAAAATATGTACACCATACCATAGACACATATTCAAGTTTCCAATGGGCAACTGCCTTGAGCTTAGAAAAGGCTGATTCGGTTACCACACATTTATTAGAAGTTATGGCCATCATGGGCATTCCTGCACAAATAAAGACAAATAATGGTCCAGCATATGTATCTTAGAAAATTAAATGGATCTTTGCCTATTATAATATAAAGCATATTATGGATATGACAAATAATCCTACAGGTCAGGCAGTTATAGAAAGTTCAAATCAAACTATAGAGGATATGCTGAACAAACAGAAAGGAATGGAAAATACCCCCTAGAAATAGATTGCATAATGCTTTATTAACCTTAAATATTCTTAACACTAATGAGAAAGGAATAACAACAGCAGAGAAACATTGGATAACAGAAAAAAACTTCTGAATTGAATCAACCAGTGTATTTCAAGGATGTGTTGACCTTACAATGGAAACCAGGAGATATGCTACGTAGGGGAAGGGGTTTTGCTATTGTTTCCATGGGAGAAGAAAAACCGTGTATACCATCAAAATTAATAAAAATTTTCTTTGAAAAGGAAGAGGCCTCTTGAATAAAGAGAAATGACAGCTCATTCACAATGGTGACAACCATACAGGTGGTAAGGAAATCATATAGGTTTGGAGCAGGGTTCTGCTCTTGTCTTCACAGGAGAATTCACATCTTCAAAAATTCAAGAGACCCTGGATATTTCGATCCTGACAGAAAGAAAAATAACTTTCCAATAAGGATTATCGAGAAAAAGAAATATGACTTATGAGGTCAAGTAATTAATATATATATATATATAAATTAAGATGGCTTTGGAGTTGTACAATGGCTCTGCACTTCTCTAAATACAAGCATGCTGTTAAAAAACATTCTGAGTTTCTATCTCATATCAAGAGCCATCTGGTATGGGACAGAAGGAAAAATTTAGAAAACAATATTTCTCAGTGTATATTTTGTTTATATCGTATTCTTCATTGAATGCATGTTTATATGAATGACGTTTAAGTTTTCCACGATGAACACTAGACTTTCCTACAGATCCTTTCCCTGCAGTAATCTTTGATGTTTCCAGGAAGAAGATGGGACCCACAGCAACAACTTCACCTGGTTGCGGTGACATCATGATGTTGATAGCACTGCTATAAGACCACTTTGGGGGTACCAGATGCTAAAATGGTGCACCTTCTCATGACGTTCTGGCCAGAACTCCAAATATGAATCTTGGGGGGGGGACCCTATCGACTGCTCAGAAATCATTTGCAAATATTCTAGACAGTAATCTTGGATAACCATTACTTTACTTTTACAGGATCCCACCAAGGGCACATCGCCCCCATGACATCAGGAAGCAATTCTAGAGGACGACTCCACCTCTCCCAAAAAAGTTTGTCTTCTGGGTTGGAAAAACCATTTAAGAGATTGTTGATTATTACTTGTATCAGGTAGAGGGTTAGGGTGGAAAGTATGTAGGTTCAAAAAAAGGAGATGATAGTGGGTAATAGAGTGAATACTTGTGAGCTATTATTTATGGATAATTTACATTGGTATAGTTTTTGTATATTGATACAAGTTCAAATTATGTTTGTTATTTCTGTTTACAATATTTGTACACATATGCAAAGTTATTCTGTCAGATTGTATATATGCATGCTTCTACCTCTGTTTAGGACATTTTGTATATTGATACAAGTTTTAGGATATATTTTCATATTGTACTGTATATTATTCTTACCTTTGATCAAGATATTTATAAATTGTTTACTTTCTGAGGTCATTGTTCTCATTTGCTACACATTTGTTTATAGATCATTTAATATTCTGACATGAAGTTTTCGTCTTTAAATTATACGGGTATTAAATACTATAGGTCAATAGTTGTTCATGTTTGTTATACGTATAGTCAGATTGATTAGGTTCTTTAGATACATAGAAATGTATTCTACCTAGATAGGTAATCAACCACTTCAAGAATCTGTAGAATATGGCATTTAAATAACTTAGGGCTCTGTTGACATGAGACACGATTGTTCCTGACAGCACCAATCTATTCCCAAGAGAATACTGAAAACTGAAGACACTCCAATTAGAGAGTGTTTTCTTCTTGGAAAAACTGGCATTTGGGCAATGAACTGCCCATGCAGCGACCACTGAAAAAATGTATGCTGTTTGGACAGGACAAGCAGGATACAAGAAAAAGACTGTCAAACCTTACCAAGACAGGGTAAGACAGTTCTGAAAATTTTTCTGCATCTGAAAATGGTCCGCCAGTTACGTGAGACCTTAGACAAAGTTGATTGTTCAATATTGTAAATGAGACTTTGGGTAATTGCTCAGGTAGCCAATTGTCTCCGTCATATACTGCTCACTTTGGAAGCTGCTTCATTGCATTTTCTGCCTACTCAAGTAATATCATCTCCTTTCTCAGGCCTACAATGGGGTTAAAAAATTAGATAGTCATAGTTACCGTCCTCTTATGATTTAGCTAAGACTCTTTGGAATAGAATGTTTATTAAAACATTTGTCATGTGTTCCTTACTTAATATTGTTTATGTTGGTTATAATTTTATACTTGATATCTGTTCCTAATGTATATAGTTGTATTGGGTTTGGATTGTTCATGTTTAGACAAAAGGGGGAGATGAGGAGGAAAGCTTTGTTAACCAATCATCTTTAAGAGGTGGAACCTAGCTAAGGAGTAGCTTCCTGGAGCCTGAGAAAAAAACTACGACACAGACCAGGTGCTGTGTGTGTGTGTGTGTATGTGATACTCCTGCAACACAGCTGAACTTGGACTTCCCATTCCTGTTTTGTGAGTTTTCCCCTTATAATAAATAAAAATATAATTGTTTTATCATTTAGTTAGCCTTATTATTTCCCATGTTGAGCTAATTTTACACTCAAGTACTATATTGAATAGACATGGAGAGAACAGACAACCATGTCTTGTTCCTGGTTTCAGGGGTATTGCTTTGAGTTTCTCTCCATTTAGCTTTACGTTGAGTGTTGGCTTACTATATATTGCCTTTATTATGTTTAGGTATGTTCTTTTATTGCTGCTCTCTCCAAGACCTTTATCATGAAGGGATGTAGTATTTTGTTGAAGGTTTTTCAACATCTAATGAAATGATCATGTGTTTTTTTTTTCAGTTTGTTTATATGGTGTATTACATCGGCAGATTTTCATGTGTTGAATTATCCCTACATCTCTGGGATGAAACCTACTTGATCATGGTGGATGATTTCTCTGATGTTTTCTTGGATTTTGGTTGCGAGTATGTTATTGAATATTTTACGGCAATGTTCATGGGTAAGATTGGTCTGTAATTCTCTTTCTTAGTAATGTCTTTGTGTTGTTTGGTTATCAGGATAATTGTTGCCTGGTTAAAAGAGTTTGGCACTGTTTCTTCAGTTTATATTGTGTGGAACAATTTGAGGAGTATTGGTATTAGTTCTTCTTTGAAAATCTTGTAGAATTCTGTGCTGAAACCATATGGTCCTGGGCTTTTTTTTCAATTGGAAGACTTTTGATGACTGTTTTATTTCTTTAGCAGTTATAGTTATATAATTTGCTTACATGTTCTTGATTTAATTATCATAAGTGATATTTATCCAGAAAATTTTCCATTTAC